AAAACCCCAAAACCCCAAAACCCCAAAACCCCAAAACCCCAAAACCCCTTTTTTGGGTAAATAAATTGAAAATTTAGGTAGCGATGGATAAGTAAAAATTTTGGTTGGATGTTTTAGAATGTTTGTGGGCAAGATAGAGGACCTTTATAGTGAAGATGGAGATAAAGGAACAAAGAAAATTAATGTAAGACTGAAAATTAGTGTATTAATTCTAACACCATAATTTTTATGAATTAAAAGACAAAACTTCTTAAGCCTAGCCATACTCTTGAATTATGCCTTATAGAAAACCAAAAAACCTAAGAAAAAGAGTGGTTCTGTGAAGAAAAGGAAAAAGATAAAGAGAGAATTCTCCCCACTTCTTAATGCAAAAAGACTTAAAAACTACTCAATCAAAAAGATCAAACTTCTTATGTCCCAATATAACAGGAAGTTTAAATTTCATTCAAAAGATCATCAGGCAAATCCTTCGAATTCGACTGGGGTAAGTCAAGTGCTAAAATTATTATGAATTTCTTTACCCCTAATATATCTGCTACAGTGTCCAACACTAATAGTTGACTCCCACAGGAATTTTACGAGCCTACTTAGTTATAACTATGACCATTTTTAAACCTATCTGATTTTGTATTAGAACTGATGCCACAACTCTGGAGAAATGGAAGGGTGAAGAGTCACCTTCTGTCCGTTTGATAATATATCTGAAAATAAGGGAATACAGAGATATTATAATTAGAATAACACCTGGAAAGAAGATGTGGATCAAGGAATCAAGTAGGTTAAAACTTGAAAAACTTGATTTAAAAATTAGCACTTTTGACTTTGCTTATAGCAACTATTGGAAAGACTTCAACTCAGATAATTAAGGAAGCATGGGAGGCTAGTCACAAGGAGTTAAACTTATTGAATCTTAAAACTTTGTTCCTGAGGACTACTAGTAAGAATCTAAGTCTGGAGAAGATGATTGAGGCTAAAAGTCCTAAGGCTTTTCACTTCAAATTTGAAAAACCAACTGAAGAAAATAATAAAATTCAATCTTTTCACAAATCCATCGGGATAAAATAATAGAAAGTTGTTGGTTAAAGCTAACAGTGAGCGAAAGAAAAGGCTCCGAACAGCAACACCGAGCTTTAAAATTGAAAAATCATTTAAGAAAGTAAGCTCTTTCTTCAGAGATTTTCAAGGAGCTTTCATGATAGACGATCTGATTGAAAAATAGCCCTAAGGAAGTAATTCTGCTGTTATGTTTAGAGTAAGGGCAAATCATGTAAATCAAAGGAGAGTAACATTGACTTGGTTAAGGTTATGTCGAATTCTTATATCAATTCTAAGGATATCTCTCCTTCAAAACCTCAATGAATGAAGCAAGATGCTAAAATCTCTGGTGTTCAGAGGAGATATATTCATTCAAGGAATTTACAGAAGCGGCCAATGTCTGGGTTTCATACCAGAAACAGGATCAAGTCTGCTGTTGGCTTTGATACTACTAAGCATAGCTCTAAAGTTACAGGAATGGTTTTTACTGAAAGTTATTCTAAGTTTAATAAGGATGCTGCTAATTTTAAGCCGAGCTGGAGCCCTTGGAATACTTCGAAATCATCGAAGAGATCTGTTAAGAAAAGACCAAAGACTTGTAAACCTCCTGCAAGGAGAGATACATCTACACTTGGAGTTATATTTAACAGTAAAATGCGTGATTCAAGCATAAAGAGCTATGAAATCCTGAAGGGCCTTAGTGATATAGTTCAAATAGCTTCTCAAAAGTAAGGAGCTGTATTAAATTTGTAGTAAAAGCAACCCAGAAATAAAAAAATGGCAGAATGAGCTAGCTCGAGCTCGTAAGAATTAAAAGTAATTTTATAGGCAGCTCAGAAAATTTAGTTGAGAAGAACAATCAGCAGATTTTAGGTTAATTTAGCTTAAAATTAATATTTTGGGGTTTTGGGGTTTTGGGGTTTTGGGGTTTTGGGGTTTTGGGG